TGGTAAGGCAATTTAAGAGAGATTTCGCTCTGTCGCGAGCAATAAATTTATTCTTCACAACACCTTTTTCTACAATATGACCGACTGATTTTTTCCACCTTTTTCCCTTTACAGGAAAAGATGGGCGGGATGGATTGAATGGTGATATATTTTCGTATTATCGGTATTGTATGTACACCACGGAAAATGCACCGAGCCATGAAAACAACATGGCATTCTCCTGACTATATTAGCTTAGTGGCTGTAGATGTCGTCAAAGGAATAATAATTAAAAACACACATAGGATCATAAATTCGTAGTTTGCCGGCATAAATAGTTAGACCGAATTTGTATCTCAAGGAAATGTGCATCATAAATTTCAACGACGAACTAGGATGAAAATCTACGCCTGAGATAATTTTATTTTTATGGCGCATCATGATTCTAGTTTAGAAATAGTTTTAAGCAGTGCCAAAATATGAAAAAAAAAGTGTCATTTGCTGCCGCCCAAAAAAAGACCCGACAGTATCAGTAAGCTATCCATCGATTCTACTTTTCTTCCTATACAGGGAAAGATGGACGTGATGGAGTGAACGGTGATTTAGTTACCTTATTCTTAATTGTTTTAACATTAACATGCACGGCGAGTCATAAAAATAACGTGGCATTAACTGAATTACTGGGCTTGGTCTAGAGTTCATCAAAGAAATACTGAAAACACGGCTCAATAATTTTTAAATCAAAAAGGAAAACAACAAACAAAAATGATGTATTTTTAAAAATACACCCAATTAGAAAATACGAATTTAGCTCACAGAGAACAAAAATTAACATTCACTCGATATTTAACTTGTGTCTGGGAGCTTAGTTCAGGTCAGTAATACTGAGATGTATTCATATTTTTTATTTAACCCTGAGGGCCCTAAGAGTGATCAGCATGAAATTTCTCCTTATAATATCAATACTTTAGAAAACAGAGCGGTCTTGAGAATTGAGTACATGATCAGAAGGGAAGATGAGTCTAACTGATACTTCAACAAGTTCTCCCAATACTTCTATAACTGAAAAAGTAAAGGGTCTGTAAATGAGAATCTTAATTTTGATATTAGGGTTTAAAGGGTTAATAACACTGAAACAAGATGCATAATCTGGGAAGTTTAGAGAAGTATTAAAGAAAATTCAAAAGCCTTTAGCAAGTTCAATAGAACAAAAGTGTGTCATCAGATTTCTCGCAAGAAAGCTCTGACAAGTAATATAAACGGTCTATATATTATGATAAGAAAACAGAGGACTTGACTGAGTGCGTTTTTAGACAATCCTTAAATTGGATTATCTAAAGGTCGTACTTCATTCAGGAAGACATGTTAAAAGAATTGCAGTATGACGTAATCTAGAACTACAATTATTTCGTGGACATGATAAACGTCGAGATGTTCGGATTTTCCAGTATTCCGTAAGACGATAAAAAAACCATAATAATAAACACTAAGGCACAAGTGAATGAAGAGGGTAACTGAATCAAACTTAATGGACCAGAAACTTGGCTTTTAACTTAGCTCTTAGCTTGATCGTTTCTTTTATTGATCCCTGGGTGCAATCAAAGTGAGAAAAGAAAGATGCAGCGTCCTTGGGATATATTCTTTCCATTGCTTAATAAATGCGAGGAAAGCTAATTTGACAGCTTCGAGTCAATAAAGGAGGGTGTTGCTTAGTGTGGGTGATTTACATCAGGCTCCGGTTGTTCAAAAGCTGGATAGCGCTATCCACCTTTTTAACAACTGGGACCAGGTAAATACAGCTGGAGGATCAGATTTTTTCATCTGTGTAATTGACTGCTGTATTTTTTTCATAGGCAAAGATGGAAAAGATGGACAAAATGGCAAGTTTTAAAAACCAACATAATCATCCATCTTTCTCTTCTTCTTCTTCTTCTTCTTCTTCTTCTTCTTCTTCTTCTTCTTCTTCTTCTTCTTCTTCTTCTTCTAATAATAATAACAATAATCAAATTGACTGGGGCTCTGCGACATGTATAACGTATTCTACAGACTACTATCAACGTCTTACTTTAGAAAGCTGGTTTACTAACTTGGAACAAACGCCACTGAATCGTAGCCAACAGTTACCAGCGCCGTACCAACGACTTATTGACGAGATCAAGCAAAACTAACTACGAGAGAACAACTGGAGAACTGACAATTTGACTAACAATAGACGACTGTTTAACTGTGACAATAGACGGATCGAAACGCACCAATCACTGATTACGAGTCTTCATAGCCAATAACATCACGGCTTAACTGACAGACGACCAATAACATCGCGACATAATTGACCAATCAGATCAATAACCAGAGTATAATACCATCAACTGACATGATACAACTAACTTTGACTCTGAAGATGACTACCGCACAGGTTGTCGAAACGTCAGTCACTGTCAACAACAACAGTCCTATTCAGGACTACGTTCACCCGGACGATCAAACTCAACCTTTTGAAATGACTCCTGGGTTCAAACCTTTCACAACAATAATAATAATAATAATAATAATAATAATAATAATAATAATAATAATAATACATCTATTTGTAAAGGTCGTTATTGTTATTTCCCTTTTACGTTTAAATGAACTGCGTTATAAGTGTTCATTCTCCCTCATGTTTTTTGGAGTTGCAACGAAGCATTCAATCATTTAATGAGCTAAACACTTTTAATCAACATTTCAGTTAAAATGTGAAATGTTACATTCAGTTTTTGACTTTAAACAACGGCATTGATAACCTTTGACTTTAAGGATTTTCTTGCATCAAGGTTTGAGAAATAATTAACAATTATTGGACGAGGTTGAGCAAAACATCGTGATTTGTCTGTGGCGTGCAGATCAATTATTTGCCTCAGCCTTCGGCTTCGGCAAATAATTGATCTGCAAGACACTGACAAACCACGATATTTTGCGATAACCGAGTTCAATAACTGTTTTATCATTCGATCACCGAGTTTGTTTTTTTTTTTTAATGAATATCCTCGGGAAGCGAAGCGATCTGCCATTTTCACGCAATAGCGATCGCAAGAAGGAGAAAAGCACGGCATGTGCAGAGTATTATTTGCAGCCAAACACAGTTGAACGGCATTGCGCATGAGCAGACATTATTTGTAGGCAGTTATTTGCTGGTCACGTGGTGGGCTCTCGGCCAATGAAAAGAAAGAAAAATTTGCTTCGAATGATAATGGGATGAAACTGTTGTTATTTTTGCTTAAACAGGAAGAGTTGGCCGTGACGGACGAGATGGACCAATTGGAGCAAAGGTTGGGAATTTGTAATTACGTTTTTTTTCTTGGGTGGTTTGTAATGGTTTACAACATTTTGTCAGAACTTGTACTTTTTGTGTAATACTCTCTCAGCTAGCGCTACAACATAGTTATCATGAAGCAAATACCCAATTGTTGGAACAAAGGCGTTGTTGAGGGAATAACTGGTTTAAAAAGCCCAAATCCGTCGAACAGAATTCAGTTCTAATTACCAAAATTTATCTAGCATGGTTATATTCTTGGTACGTATCGCACCGATGTGTTCAGGTTAAACTTTTCACAATGCAAGTCTCAAAACATTCTAAGGGGTAGATTCTGAGAAACCTCTAATCTTTTGAGGATCAGTAGAACCCCGGTAACTCAAACTCTGAAGGGAAGACGCTTCGAGTTAGCGGGGAATTCGAGTTATCGGGGTAAATTTCAGCGAAATTTTGATCAAGGGAAAGGAATGAAATTTAGTTCGAGTTAGCGGAGCATTCGAGTTATCCGAGTTCGAGCTATATTATGAAAGGTCCCTCACTGTTTAAAGTCTGAGCTTCGTAAATTTGAATTATCTTAAACGATTAGGGTAAATGTACACCGATTTTTGAAGATTTTCTTAAGTAAATGGTAACTAACCCTGGTCTTTAGAAACCTGTTAGGCTAAGATTTGTCAGTTAGGCCCCTTCTATACAAGAAAAGGCTGTTTGGGGTTAAATTTGAAACAGGTTCTTATTTTCTAACATCTATACAATAAAAAGTCTGTATTTGCGACTCTGGACCTGCTCCAGATAAAAAGAGATGAATTTACGACCTTGTTCAAGACAATAATTGTACGCCAAAAATTGTAAACACGTCACGTCACATTGTCTCGTATTTGTTTATTATTCACCTACATCAAGTCTCACCTAGCTTGATCAAGAATTATGGAGATTATAAGGTAAAGTGCACCCTGTTCCGGAGTCATATTGACTTCCAGATATAATATAAACGATGGTCTTTCATCCTGCTCCAGAGTCAGGCTAGAGAGGCAACAAGTATATCCTGTTGGGCGGCACCTACCCATGTAGCCTATATATAGGAGTACCCGGCGTTCCCCCGGGACCACCACCATAGGGAACTGCTGCTATCCATACACTCTGTTACTCCAAAATAGTGGCAACATTACTCTTCTTTATATTTATGCTTCAATCTACCCACAAAATGGCAAACCATTTTCAGAATGAAATATGTGCTGTGCTCTGTTCGAAAAAAGGCAATACAAACAACATGATGGAGAAATGTGAAATTTGCACATAGCCGGTTTATTAAACTCTGAAAATCTAATACAAATACAAACTGAAACTTTCATTAAACATGTATTGCTGGCGAAGGTGAGGGCAATCAACTGCCTGAAAAATACAAACCATAGAACAAAGGAAGAGGCAGGAATGGGGAGGAGGAGGGCTGATGAAAAAATTCTTGTGTGTCAACGAGATCAAGAACACGACATCCATTATACAACGATCAATGAATACGACATTACCTAAAGACGCCATCTTGAATTCAAAATTCAAATCAGTACCCTCGATTCCATGTTCCTAGCCTTTTTCCACATTACTGTACTCATAACCTATGTAAGGCTAAATTGTTGCATAAAATTTTATTTGAAGACAAATAATACATTTATGTTCATTAGTGCCTCGATTGAAAAAAGAAATTAAATTTTTCCTTCCTTTAATGAGGTTGCATATGTTGTGGTTCAAATTTAACCTTGGTTTAAAATTCTATTTTCTTTTCTTTTTGGTTATGGTAATGCATGATAATGAGTTTGAAACAAAAGAAAATACAATTTCATCCAAGGACAAAATTGAACCACAACATATACAGTGCTACAACGCAGGGATTCAGACCATTAAAGTCACACAGTGATGTGATAAAACACCATACATCATGTTGAAGCTGTATTCTCTTCAAATTGTAAAGCAGCTATGTCGTCATATTTATAGTAGAATGGCTATAGTATATGTAGTTAAGAAACGGTCCAGATAAGAACGATAGCAACAACGGCAACGAACATGTTGGAATGCAAAAAAAGGTGCTAACTTTTCCATTGTATGTACTTACTTCTGATTGGCTTAAACAGCAAAAGTTAACAAAACTTAAGCGGTACATATATTCATCCTTACTTTCCAACCATCTTCCATATAACAAAATCTGGTCTCAGTTTGAATAACAAAGAAATCCTATGTAGGGAACATGTAAAATTGTAAACTTTTCTTGGTCATTGTTTTCAACTCTTGTGATTGGTCAAAATCTTTTAACACAAAAAAACACCCTTTCAAAAAGGAGTGTAAATGTATTTTATTGCGTAAACGGCCTTCATGTAGGTTTATGCATTCTCAGCGTAAAAGTGAGAACATTCCTATGTGGGGAAAGCACCGTTGCCGCATAACAAAAGAAATTGCTATCCACCTTACCCGGATCATTACTTAATTGAGAAACAGGGCTGCCTGGACAAGATGGAAAGGTTGGTATTAAGGTAAAGCAAGAGAGGATAGAGCTCATCCTCTCTTAGGTAAAGTGAATAATATTATTTGTTTACTATCAGTTTTCGGCAGTGGCTGAATAAGATATTTCAAACAATACACAAGTTCGCGCGATCCAGCCAAATAGGCGGAGAAATTAAAAATGTAAAAAAATGCTAATAGATTGATCGGAAAAGTCCAATGAAAATCTTGTTCCTCTTCCCACCTGTGTACAATGTATCCTCGAAAAGAATTTCACGGTCCTCGTGACTTATGGACAAAGGTTTTTCACGGAATTAAAGCGGAGCTGCGAGGAAAAAAAAAAGACGGGAAGAAAGGAAAACACGGAGAGTAGAAAGGAGAATGTAAACTTCGAGGCCTTCATTACTTTATAAGCTCAAAAACGTTGCTTTTTGCACATGATCGTGATCAGAAGTTACAATTTAGAACCAGTGTTGTGCTGAACTTGTAAACAAAGTTTAAAACAATTTTTTCAAATTAATTTACGAAGACTATATTCCTTCCCTCAGATAATCTAAATAATGCGGCCTTTTATGTACGATCTAAAACGAAATTTGTACAACGTGTATCGCTACAAGAAAAATGAAAGAACGATGAGCTCTCGCTTATAAACTGACTTTTCCAAATGTGTTATATTGCTAATTTTGGCCATTTTGATTCAGGGCGAGAAAGGATCTCCTGGAGTCAAAGGACCAAAAGGAGAAAAAGGAATTCCAGGACCTTGTGATGCTAAGGTAAGGTTAGTTCAGTCAACTGGCACTGGTTAATCTTTCCTTCAGATCTGTTCAAAGTTTTAAAGTCTATTTTTTATCGCTATTTTGGCAATAATTTGATATCTTACCAAAATTTTTTGGATAAATTTGTTGATCTTTAAATGTTTGTGATATGATATTCCGTACTTGAAATTAAGAATTTTTGTTTGTTCTACAATTAGCGCTAGATTTATGGTAGGTTTTCACTGAAAAAAGTTTTTCTCCAAGAAGTTGGAAAACTCATGTGGAAGAGAGAAAAAAAATCTTTTGTTTACCCTTACTAGGACAATAGAGTAATTTGGTGGGTGTAAGTATAACTTGCCTCGTTTCCTGATATTACTTATCAAACTTATGAAAAGAAAACATGAAAAAACGAAATCGTCGTATTACACATTGATTAAAGAACTGTAACTTCCCCTATTTTGGATGCCCTTTCCTTCTGCCGTTTGTTTGCCGTTTGTGAAGAACTGGGATAAACCTGGCTGAGCTCCGAATACGCAACTTGCACATACATCTCCTGTAATGCACCTTATTTGGCCCTCAAAATGTTGCATCAGCATTACTTTTTCAATTTCTCTTTGGACGGCTGTGATACCCAGGAGAAATGAAAAATAAAAGTCATGCAAAATTTTGGGGACAAATACGGTGCATTATGGGAAATGTGCAAGTGGCGTATGTTAGGAACCCCCAACCCCGTTTCTAGGGCTTTCTTCTGAAAAGCCACGGAGACGAGGTTGAGCCAAACCCCCGACGGCTTAAACTTTGTGTCATGCTTTCCTTTTTTTCAATCTTTTGCTCTGTTTTGAATTTCAGAGCTTATCGTCTATTAAATCAGCCTTTTGTTCAGCCGGTAAGAAAATTTCATGATATTAAATATCGTTTAATTTATGTTGTACTGGCTGTATATGATGAACATTGTAGGAAATTACGCAGGCCTTTATAATTGGGCCTGATCTCAGGTCAACTTGTTCCTTGCAATCACATAGTCTTTCCGGCTCAATAATTCTCTTTAAAATGTTGATAAATTTAACATATTCTGTCTGTTGTGTTTCCAATTTGGCGAAGATTGCTCCACTGGTTTCCACTTTTTCGAGAAATTTCAAGATCTTCCAACCCGAGGAGCAGTAGCCGTGGAACATTTCACCATTAACGGAGGTCTGTTTATTGCTTTCGCCAACTTCGTCGATGACATTAAGAAAACAAAGACAAGCTCCATGATCTACAAGATGAACGAGTCGGCTGGAATTTTCTCTTTGTACCAGACCCTACAAACTAGAGGGGCATATGACCTCGAGTACTTTTCAATCGGTAACAAACACTTTCTTGCCTTTGCTAATTATTACGATGGAACTCACCAGCTGGACTCTACAATCTATCAGTGGAACGGTAAGCTGTTTGATACCTTTCAAAAAGTATCAACAAACGGAGCAACCCACTTTACGTACTTCAAGATGCATGAGGAACATTATCTAGCAGTAGCAAACTATTATGACGGAAGTGCCCATTCTACAAACTCAGTAATTTACAAATGGAGTAGCGGCAAGTTTAACAAATTTCAAGACATACCAACTGAAGGTGCCATGGGTTGTACGGCGTTTGTGATAAACAACGACACTTTCATTTCTTTTGCAAACTATTACAACTCCGGACACAAGCATTCTGTTCAGTCTACTGTGTTCAAATGGTCAGGAGAACACTTTGCCAAATTCCAGTCTCTTCAAACGTTTGGAACGTTCGATATCAAGTCTTTCAACATCAACGGACACACGTTCCTCGCCTTTGCAAACTTTTACTCTGGAAGTAAACACAACATCGACTCTTTCTTTTACAAGTGGAATGGCAACAAGTTCGTCCTGTTCCAGTCCATTCCTACTCGTGGGGCCATCGCCTGGTATCCATTTGTGATCGGTATTCACACGTACCTGGGTTTGTCTAACAACAAAGATGACATTCAGGGATATGTCACTAAATCAGTTGTGTACCAGGCTTCTGGAGCTAATTTAGTTAAGTACCAAGAGATTCTAACCACTGGGGCACATTATATGACGTCATTTGAGTACAAGGGTCATACTTACTTGGTAGTGGCAAACCATAAAAACGGTCAAAAGTACAACTTAAACAGCGCCCTGTACAAATGGGTGTAGAGCGTTATGTTTTAATCCAAGCATACAGCAAATTTGTAAACAGTAAAAGAATAATAGTTTGTTTCATGATTTTGTAAGCAATAAGTACCTTGATAGCTTAGAGCATTAATCTATAGAATAGGCGTAACTTTTAATACTTTTTCCATTCGATCATTGACTTGGAGAGGATAGCAATTATTTCTTGTTTTGGTCTAGTTTGGTCTAGTTCATCAATATCTCAAACTAATTTACAGCTATTAGCTGAAAACAAGGACTTTTGGTAGTAATCATTGTGTGTTTAGATACGCTTGAAAAAAGTTAATATTAAAAATCTTTGGTAAATAAATCTTTGCTTGGAACTGTGAATTGTGTGCTCACTTCAGTCCAGTTTAACAGAACGGTGCACTAAGATTTAGTTCGTGCCAACTTCAAGGGGACCCATCAATGGTCACTGAGATGAATATTTCGTCTGACGCACGTCAAGGCATATCTTGGTTGATCTTTATTCCGAGGGGACTGGCAGAGAAGAATAAAAAAAAATTATGGTGGTTTAGAGAGATTAAGGAAATGCTCACGCTATAAAAATAATTTCAAGGATCGAGACTTTTTTCGTGAGAAGCCATTGAAAGAAAAGAGGTTGGTACCAGTGTCTTCTAAGTTAAAACGTCTTCTTTTCCCTCCAGATATAAATTTAGTGACCAGACACTATCGGCCTGAAGTGAGAGGTAATGTCATATATCCACTGAGGGAGCAGCCTGCGGTGGACACATCACTTTACCACGAGCTAAAAGCCGACAAACGGCGTACTTTTACATTTGCCAGGATTTCTCAGGGGTTCCAAAAATACACTGAAGAAATTAAATTCATCTACTGTTCATCTTCCTTTACTTCTCAATTTTCCACGGTGACATACTGTTAGTAGTAGTTAACAAGGCTCTCTTATGTTAGTTTTTTTACATATAATTTCGCATTTTCAATCGGTTACATGTAATTTTGAGAATTCCCCTCTGACAACTGAGCAGGTTTGTCTGCGAAGTATCTGCGGATCATTATACGTCATTGGGAAACTGCCTAACTACCCCTCCCCTAAGCTTACATTAACACTTACTTCTCACTTATGG